TACAAGTAGAAATATCACACTTCACGTGGAGCAGACTTCAGGACTCTAAATCTAATTGACTATAAACAAAGGGTTCGAATCAAGAAAGCTTGTTATATCAATGACTTGGTTTTTCTTTGCAGAGTATGCATATACACTTCGAGTGAATGAGAAGAGCGACATATACAGCTTCGGTGTTGTGATTCTTGAATTGGTCACAGGGAGACTCCCAGTTGATCCTGAATTTGGGGAAAAAGATATGATCAAGTGGGTATGCACTACTTTGGACCAGAAAGATGTAGATCATGTACTCGACCCTAAACTTGATTCTTGTTTCAAAGAAGAAATGAGCAAAGTCCTCAATATCGGCCTCATCTGCACCAGCCCCCTCCCCATCAACCGTCCATCGATGAGAAGGGTTGTAAATATGTTGCATGAAGTGGGTGCCGAACACCATCTTAAGGCTGCCCAGAAAGACGACAAATTTACACCTTATTACTACGAAGATGCCTCAGATCAAGGAAGTGTAGCTTGAAAAGTTTTATCATGTCATAGAGTTGGAATGTGGAAGGAGAGGGAGAAGAAGTGCTCGCTCCTCTTGTGTTGCCAATTTTTCAGTTTTTATTTTTATCCTTTCCTGATGTTTGCTTTCATGAAGGTAAAGAATGTATTGTAGAGTTTCTTTGATGTCAATTTTCTTTCTGGCATCTCTCTGAGAAATTTTATAAAAATAAAATCGAAGATCTCTTATGGGTTTATTTTGCATTAGTAACTTCTGCCTTTAGGGGTGACTACTAGTCTGTGTATTGGTTCTATGTGAATTATGAAAAATCACAGGAATGGAATTTCCCACACAATTCTGTAAATCGTTTTTTTTTTTTTAACTTTTATTTATAAACTTAATTCTGTAAATTGTTTGACCTCTCTGCTTTTTGAAAGCGGAGGTCGGATTTCTTGTCTTGACTGCCTCCTGTCTAAAGTTACTTTTATCATACGACGTACATCTTTAATCTGATTGTGTAGTGAAAAGAAATTTTGAGATAAAATGGATTATCCAAATAGTTTTGCTACAAATACAAAAATTATTACAAAACTGAACACAGAATAGTCATAAATGGATAAGATTTTATAGTACGAGATCCATTTTTAAAAAATCTAGTCTTTCAAATACCCATATGCAAAAGAAAGCTGTACTTGAGTCCATGAAATGAGGGTAGTTTATGTGTTCCTCCATGGGTCCTTCTCATTAAAAGGTTTAGGAAAATCCCCTGCATCTGTTACCTCTCTTGTGCAATGTACAATCCAAAATTATAAAATCCATAGGCTGTCCAGAGTGGGTCTTGGCTAACCTATTAAAAAGTTCAAGAATGTTGAATTCTGTTTGGCTGTTGAGATGATGGAGGAAAAGTTAGAGAAATGAACAATTTATTGTGAAACCGATTTCTTTGAGATTGAGTAATTTTTCAATCACAACCCTAACTTTATTTTATTAATATGAAGTTCAATTAATTTTTAATTAATGGCTGATAAATAAAGTAGTCCACAAATCTGCATTAGGGAACCACTATGGTACCCCAAAAGTTAAAAAATAATATTAGTACATAAACAAATACATTATATTAAATTTTTAACTTAATATTATTATCTAGTAATTTTTATTATTGAATCACTGAGGAATCCTTGCGAAAATCATACCATACTTGAGATTTGGCATGATCTTATTTGATTTTGATTGATTTTTTGAAAATTAAATTTTTATTTTTTGTGTGTTTTTTTAGTGATTTTTTAAAATATTTTAAGTAATTCTTTTTTTTCTTTTTTTAGATACAAATTTTTTTCCTAAGACATCTTGGCGTTGTCTCATGCACTTAGCTATGTAACTTCTTTTTTCTTTTTTTTTTTTTAAAAAAAATTTATATAAAGAATTATGTTTCACATGACAAAAGAAGAAGAAGTAAAGTCTTCAAGACACTTGCTGACCTGTTCACTTTACATAATATAATATAGATATAGGGGAAATTTTACTATACACACCATCTCCTATATGCACCTATAAGTTATGCCATTTTCATATTTAATTATAACCGATTTTCTTCTTTAGTCATGACTTTATTTTAATTATAACTCATAAAATTTCTAATTATACATTATGTGTTAGTTGATTATATATATATATATATTTTTTTTTTTTAAGATTATACATTATGTGTTAGTTGATTATATATATATATATATATATTTTTAAGTTATAACTCAAAAAGTATAAAGTTATATTATTTTCTTCTTTAATTATAAAGTACATATGATATATCTATTTTAAGAAGTTTGTACCATAATCTTTCCTTATATTATATATATAGACAGGGAGAGAGAGAGTCACTTACATAGAATGCATAGTTAAAATAGTCGAAAGCACAAAAAAAAGCCTCAATCTTTTTTAAATGAAAAAATTACTAGTAGTGGTATTACAAATTTATGAAAAATCTTATGAATTTATTTATAAATTGTAATTAAATTTTAAAATACCCATTGAATTGTTATTTTTCCTTTTAAAATTGTAGTGATAGCGACCGTGATGGAGATAAGGGTGTTCACAGATCGTGTTAGGTCGAGTGACTTTTCATCTGCTATTTGTCTGAACTTAAGCAGATTGAAAAAAAAGCAATGCGAATTTAATGGGTTGTACGGGGTGGTGGGTGGATGCAAATTAGTTTGGCAGTCGAATTTTACTATTTGAATATTTTTTTAAATTATTATTCAGTAAGCCTAAATTTTTTAACAGTTAATTTTTTATAACAAAAATAAAAGCTAAATTTTCATATTTTATAAATTGTAAATATGATTTCTAAATAAAAGGAACTTTTTTAACATACAAAGTATAAAAACATAACTTCATTTTCTTAGGAATGTTAGCAGATCAAATTGGGTCAAATAGTCTCTCATCTGAACTTCAACAAATTGAAAAAATGCATCCGTGTCCTCCGCACAAACTATTGAAATCATCAATTTTCTGATGGATTGGTTCAGCCCATTCAATTTTAACAAATTAGATGGATGCTTGGTCATCCCTCAATATAGATGAACCCAAAAAAAATAGACGGTCTAGGACCCAATTTAGGGTCCTAAATTTTAAATCAGAATAAGTTGTGTGGTAAAAATTAAAATTGTGTGTTGTGTGTTTCATGTGTAAAATGAATCAAAATTGGTTTTTTTGAGTAAATTCTACATAGTATTAGGGGTGATTATGGTTCGGATTAGTTCGGATTAGGGTAAAATTAAGACTAATCTGTTATCTACAGTTCTTGAAAAATTAAAACCAATCCAATCCGTTTAAATCGTAGAATCAATCCAAACCAATCTATTTAAACACGGATTGGATCGGTTTAGGACTACAAATTTACATAATTAAATAATAAAAAAATACATAACATTTTAATTTCATAAAAACATAAACATAGCATCATATTAATATTACAATAACACCATGTCTTTCTATAATAGCGACATACTGTTATAGAATTTAAACAACCATAAGAAAACTGATTTCACCTTAAATATTTAGACAATTATAAATTAAAAGTAAAAATTAACAAACAAAAATAATAAAAGAAGATATTATACGGGTTTAGGTTTTATATAGAATAAGAGAAGATACTATCAGAAAGGTGTATAATATAAATATAAGCTATTTGGATATGGCCCGAATTGATTTCAATCCGGAATCGATCCGTGGACTATGAATTTTTAAATTTTCAATTCGAAATTAAATTACGAATTCAAAAAATCAATCCAAACCTACCAAATTAGACTAGTCTAAATCAAATTATAAATTTTATGAATTCTTTACTTATTAGTCCTACATAATATTATTGAAAAAAAAGCAACAAAAAGGCCCTGTTTGGTAGAGTTCTGAAACGTTCTAGAGCTTGATATGAATATAGTGTTCGTTTACGATTTTCAAAATTTAATTCTACACTCACTTTTGAAAACGCGGTCGAAGGCGGGAAAATTTGAACTAACCAGTCGTCCGGCCAGTTGACCAAAACAGTGCAATTTTTTTTTTTTACAATTGACACATGTTAATTTTTATATATTCAATAAAAAATATTTTCTGAATTTTTAAATTTTTTTTATGAGCTTTAATAGAATTTTGAATTGTGTGTTTGGTCATGAATTGTAAGTTTTTGTATCAACTATCATATGTCACATTAAAAATTTCTCACTCAATTCAAAATTCTTTTTAAAACTCATTCACCAAATAAATTTTTCACACTCAAATTATAATTTAAAAACTCTCAAACTCAAAATATAACCCTATTCTCAAATCATATTTACAAAATTATACGAAAAGCGACCAAAGTTTTCAAAAAAATACATCCGCTTAAAGTGAATGATGATTATTATTGTCATTAGCCGTTGACGGGACCCCCATTATGTCTCTCTCTCTCTCTTTGTCTCTCTCATACGGTTCTCAATTCCCCTCCTCTCCATCTCCATTTTTTCTCAACTCAATCTCTGTCTTCTGTCCATCTTGTCTCTTTCATTCTCTAATCCTAAAACCTCTCTCTTCGTAGATCATGATCGCCTTTACTTCGAACCTGTATAACCCTAAACCACTCTCTTGGTCTGTCACTTACAAATCCACATCTAATTGCCTTTCTGATGGAGATCTTCTCTCTCATTCAACTCTCAAATGCAAATCGGCCCTCTTGTCACGATGAGGAACACGACGATCCCCATGTATTTTTTTTCCTCTTTAATTTTTGTCCGTAATTCGTTCTTTACATATTTGATTTCAGATTTCTTGTGTGTATAATTTTATTTTTTATTTTATTATTTTTTTATGAATATTTTTCTTTCCCCCGTTCAATTTGTTTGTTGCTGGTGGTTGAGGTCAATCTGTCCTTAATTTTTCTTTATTTATTCAAGGATAATACTTGGTAGCTCGAAAATTCTGCCTCGAATTGGCTCAAATACCCATATTCTTTTTTTTTTCTTCTTTTTTTTCATTTCCCTCTCTGAGACCATCTCCAACGGTTCATCAAAGTTGACATCAAATTTTAAATTTGATGAAAAAGTTACTGTTTGGTGCTCTAACGGTTGCACCAAATCGATGTCAAAATGAGATTTCACCAAACAATTCATCAAACTGAGGACAGAAAGTAGATTTCATCAAAACACTGTTTGTGACTATTGGATGCATAAACTGGTCAACCAGCCGGTTGACCAACCGGTCGCCCGGTGTACCATATCAGTGAGTGGTTGGTTTGAACCCTCAGATGGTTGGTTTGAACTGGGTTGGCTTGAACTGTGATCGTTGGGGGCAACCGGTCGACCGGTTTGGGAATTTCGGCTACAGTGCAATAACAGGTTGATCCTGGTTGGTTTAACTTGTTTGAGTTGGTTTATTTGGACTAAAAAATATTTTGTGGATTATGAATAATTTTGCAGGGTGATATAAATTTAAATTCCCTACATAGTTGACATACATATTTGAGAATTAGCCGTTATAATAATTTGTCGTTGGATGGACAGAGTATTTTGAAAATCTACTCTTATGTACTGTTGGATGGACAGAGTATTTTGAAAATCTACTCTTATTTACTGTTGGATGGACAGAGTATTTTGAAAATTTACCGTTGATGATGCGCTCTATAAAATAGATGTGATTTCTATATCTTAAATTGACAGAGTATTTCATTTTGAGAATAGCATTTATATGTTGTGAATTTTTTTTCTTTTGTGTCATTACATATTTGTTTCCCTTGAAATTTTAATTAATATTATCTGATTCTGAGTTTGAGCTTTATATCATTACAATATTTTTAGTAAGTGTATTGTCTTTTTTCCAAACTATGGAAGATTTCAAAATGTTTAAAGAATCACAAATGTTTGAGCACAACACTCATATTAATTTAATGTCGGAATCTTCACGAGAGCAGAACACGCAGAACAGTGATAATCATTTCATTTCAGAAACTTCTCGTGTTTCTCGTGGTAAAGCGTTCACAATTATAGAAGATGAAACTTTATGTAGATCTTGGTTAGTAGTCTTTCAAGATCCCATCACTGGTAATAGTCAGACTATAGCTATATTTTGGGAACGAGTACTTGTTTATTTTAATTCACAATTCAGCAGTGAATCAAATCGAAATCGTATTTCTTTGACTCACCGTTGGTCTGCTATGCAAAAGGCAATTAATAAATTCTGTGATTTTCTTGAACAAATTCAACTGAGGCAACAAAGTGGAACAACTGAGGCAAATATGGTAAAATGTATTTATGTTATTAAATATCAATTTTCTTTTTTAAATGTATACTTGTTATTGAAATCTTTGTAATTTTTTTTTGTAGGTCACTGAAGCGAAGCGGATGTCTCATGCAATACAGAAAAAACACTTCACTTTTGATACATGTTGGGAGATTTTGCGCCAAAGTTGTAAATGGGATGAATTTCGATCAAAAAGAAGCATGCAACCTATTGATCCATGTTCACATTCACCAACTGAATATGAGGCTTCTCAATCCAACCAGAATAATGCGGTGCACGAACAACCATCTAATACATCAACACGACCAATTGGTACTAAGGCAGCGAAATAGAAGTTGAAGAATCAAACAATGCACGATAGTAGATTTAATGAAATGGCTGCCAACCAATCCAAAATTGTTGAAGTGTTATCAACTATCTCCGCTAGAACTATTGAGCGAGATGAACAAAAGGCAATAGACCGTGAGCAGAAGGCTGCAGAGCGTCGAAGAAGGGCCAAA